TATGCTAGCCTAGCAGTAATATTTCTGGCATTTAGCTGTTAGCAGTGATATTTCCGGTGTTTATCTATGCTAGCCTAGCAGTAATATTTTTGGCATTTAGCTGTGTTAGCAGTGATATTTCCGGTGTATCTATGCTAGCCTAGCAGTAATATTTCTGGCATTTAGCTGTTAGCAGTAATATTTTCAGGTGTTTATCTATGCTAGCCTAGCAGTGATATTTCTGGCATTTAGCTGTGTTAGCAGTGGTATTTATAGTGTGTATCTATGCTAGCAGTGATGATTCAGGTGTTTAGCTTTTGATATTTCCAGCGATTAGCTGTGTTCGCAGTGATATTTCAGGTGTTTATGCTAGTATTGATATTTCTGGGTTTTTTAGCTGTGCTAACAGACATAGATTTTTCTGGTGTTTATCTGTGTTAACATTAATATTTATTCTGGTGTTTATGCTAGTATTGGTAATTCTGGTGTTTAGCTGTGCTAACAGATGTTGACATTTCCGTTGTTAGCTGTGTTAGCAGTGATATTTCTGCTGCTAGCTTATCTATGTTAACATTGATGTTTACGGTATTTAGCTGTGTTAGCAGTAATAATATTTTTTTCTTGTGTTTATCTATGCTAGTAGAGCTATTTCTGATATTTATCTGTGTTAACAGACATTAAAATTTCTGTTGTTAGCTGTGATATTTCTGTTATTTATCTCGGTTAGCAGATGTTTCTGGTTTAGCTGTTACCATTGATATTTCTAGAGCTTAGGTTTTGCTCTGTTTAATTTGACATGTTTCTGTGTTTATTTTAATGCTAGCGTTTAGCCCTACAGTGGTTCTGGTGTTTAGCTGTTATCATTTATATTTCTAGTGCTTAGGTTTAGCTCTGTGTTTAGGTTAGCGCTGGTGTTTAGTTTAGTGTTTGCGTTTAGCCTGACAGTGCTGCTGGTGTTTCCAGGCTGCTGGCGGAGGAGGAGGAGAAGGTGAAGTCGCTGCTAGCGCTGCAGGAGGAGCAGGAGGAGCAGCTCCAGCAAACCCAGCGCGAGAAGCAGGAGCTCAAGCAGGAGATGGACAAGAAATCCCAGGATCTGGACGAGGCTCAGCAGCAACTCGAGAAAGTGCGGGCTAGTCGACGCAGAGTGGACCAGGACATCGTGGTGAGCTTGAGTTCATCACGTGTTCCTCACTACCGGGGAGCGTTCCCAAAGCGTTAGCTGCACAGCTTCTGGGAAGGTTCTCTCAAAGTTATTCTGGTCTTTAATGTTCTTTAGAACAAAAATGTTCATGGAACTGTTGAATGTTCGCCTGACGTTTTTAAATGTCACTGCTTGTTTCAACACGTTCAGAGAACATTCAAAAGTAACGTTCCCAGAATGTTTGCAAAATTCTCTCAACGTTTGGGCAACCAAAAAAATTCCAAAGCCATTTTGAACGTTCAAAGAACATTCAGAAATAAAATGTAATGTCAGTGTTTGCAAAACATTCTTGAGGTTCGTCCACACCAACTATAATGATACAAAGAATAAAATATATAGTATATAAGTCTGTTTGTTTGGATTCAAATATAGTTGTCGTTATAGTTATCGTCTGCTGATGTGGGTGCTAATATAGTTATAGTTATATTTATCGTTATAACTATTGTTCGTTTGTGTGGATGCTAATATAGTTATAGTTATTGTCCGCTGGTGTGAACGCTAATATAGTTATCGTTATAGTTATCGTCCGCTGGTGTGAACGCTAATATAGTTATCGTTATAGTTATCATGTGCTAATATAGTATCGTTATAGTTATCGTCTGCTGGTGTGAACACTAATATAGTTATCGTTATAGTTATTGTCCGCTGGTGTGAACGCTAATCTAGTTATCGTTATAGTTATCGTCCGCTGGTGTGAACACTAATATAGTTATCGTTATAGTTATCATGTGCTAATATAGTATCGTTATAGTTATCGTCTGCTGGTGTGAACACTAATATAGTTATCGTTATAGTTATCGTCCTCTGGTGTGAACACTAATATAGTTATCGTTATAGTTATCGTCCGCCGGTGTGAACGCTAATATAGTTATCGTTATAGTTATCGTCCGCTGGGGTGAACACTAATATAGTTATTGTTATAGTTATCGTCCGCTGGTGTGAACACTAATATAGTTATCGTTATAGTTATGTGCTGGCGTGAACGATAATAGTTATCGTTATAGTTATCGTCCGCTGGTGTGAACACTAATATAGTTATTGTTATAGTTATCGTCCGCTGGTGTGAACACTAATATAGTTATCGTTATAGTTATCGTCCGCTGGTGTGAACGCTAATATAGTTATCGTTATAGTTATCGTCCGCTGGTGTGAACACTAATATAGTTATCGTTATAGTTATCATGTGCTGGCGTGAACGATAATATAGTTATCGTTATAGTTATCGTCCGCTGGTGTGAACGCTAATATAGTTATCGTTATAGTTATCGTCCGCTGGTGTGAACGCTAATATAGTTATCGTTATAGTTATCGTCCGCTGGTGTGAACGCTAATATAGTTATCGTTATAGTTATCGTCTGCTGGTGTGAACACTAATATAGTTATCGTTATAGTTATCGTCCGCTGGTGTGAACGCTAATATAGTTATCATTATAGTTATCGTCTGCTGGTGTGAACACTAATATAGCTATCGTTATAGTTATCGTCCGCTGGTGTGAACACTAATATAGTCATCGTTATACTTATCGTCCGCTGGGGTGAACACTAATATAGTTATCGTTATAGTTATCGTCCGCTGGTGTGAACGCTAATATAGTTATCGTTATAGTTATCGTCCGCTGGTGTGAACACTAATATAGTCATCGTTATAGTTATCGTCCGCTGGGGTGAACACTAATATAGTTATCGTTATAGTTATCGTCCGCTGGTGTGAACACTAATATAGTTATCGTTATAGTTATCGTTATCGTTATAGTTATCGTCCGCTGGTGTGAACGCTAATATAGTTATCGTTACAGTTATCGTCCGCTGGGGTGAACACTAATATAGTTATCGTTATAGTTATCGTCCGCTGGTGTGAACACTAATATAGTTATCGTTATAGTTATCGTTATAGTTATCGTCCGCTGGTGTGAACACTAATATAGTTATCGTTATAGTTATCGTCTGCTGGGGTGAACACTAATATAGTTATCGTTATAGTTATCGTCTGCTGGTGTGAACACTAATATAGTTATCGTTATAGTTATCGTCCGCTGGTGTGAACACTAATATAGTTATCGTTATAGTTATCGTTATAGTTATCGTCCGCTGGTGTGAACGCTAATATAGTTATCGTTATAGTTATCGTCCGCTGGGGTGAACACTAATATAGTTATCGTTATAGTTATCGTCCGCTGGTGTGAACACTTATATAGTTATCGTTATAGTTATCGTCCGCTGGTGTGAACACTAATATAGTTATCGTTATAGTTATCGTCCGCTGGGGTGAACACTAATATAGTTATCGTTGTAGTTATCGTCCGCTGGTGTGAACACTAATATAGTTATCGTTATAGTTATCGTCCGCTGGGGTGGACACTAATATAGTTATCGTTATAGTTATCGTCCGCTGGGGTGGACACTAATATAGTTATCGTTATAGTTATCGTCCGCTGGGGTGGACACTAATATAGTTATCGTTATAGTTATCGTCCGCTGGGGTGAACACTAATACAGTATAGTTATCGTTATAGTTTTCATGTGCTGGGATGACCACTAATATAGTTGTTGTTTGAGTTATCGTATGCTGGCATGAACGCTAATATAGTTATTATAATTATCGGCCGCTGGTGTGAACACTAATATAGTTAGTTATCGTTGTTGGTGTGCGAAAAGGCCTTTAGGACCCTTCTGTTAGCTGTGTCCACACTCATGAACATGTCGTCCACAGGCCGCCCAGCGTAAACTTCGCCAGGCCAGCACGAGTGTTAAACACTGGAACGTTCAGATGAACCGCCTGATGCACCCCATTGGCCCTGGAGGTTTGTGTGTTTATATGTTTATGCGTTTTGAATGCAACAAAAAAATGTGTTGATTTCTATTTTTGTTAAAGAAAGGAGAGCGTCCACCGGTAATCTTCTCGCCCCTCCGGTCCGCGTCCCCTCCGTCAGTGAGACCGAATCGAGACCTCCAACGAAAGACAAACAGAACAACCTTGAATATGAAGATAACAGAAGTGGCGAGAATATGGACTGTGGGAACAATGAAAACACAGAGCCGAACGACCTTGACGCTGAATAAACCTGACAGTGATAAACCTGACAGAAAAATGACCTGACATGGCAAACTTAGCTGACTGTGAATGATTCAGAGCCGTAATCATTACTGAAATATACTTGTGTTTCGTTATTATTGTTGTCTGGCAGAATCGGGCTGTTTTTGCTTTTGAAACTTGTGGTTTTACTTCCTGTTTCCTGTGTCAGCAGAAGATGCTGTGCTTGTGTAGAACTGATCTTTATCTCTCGCTCACTGTCTTGAAAGAGAATAAATGATTATAAAAAAAACTAAATATGTGAGTCTTGAAAGTGTTTTATTCAGTATTATCCATTGTCTCAACAAGCAGTATTTCATTCGCGTTAACGTCAAGTAGTACAGTAACGTCTCACATGTGAGAATAATGCGTTTCGGTCGTTTACATAATTATCTGGATACTGAAACTAAACATTTAATTTAATTTTAATTTTAAATTCTCTCAACTTTTAAGTTTGAACAGAACTTAATTTACAGTCTATGGATGGAACTTCAGTTTTTGTCTGTGTTTTTTTTTTTTTTTAAGTGGCGAACAGCGCCATCTGTTGGCGATGACCGGAAGTGAGCGCGGATCAACTCGAAGTAAGTGCATCTTGTTTGTTTTGAAGTTAAAGAACAACAGATATTAAAAGGACATCTACACAATATGCAGCATATGTGAATGATATTCACGTACACTCACAAACACACACGGTTCGTACAGGGTTAAATGAAACGAGACGCTGTGACGTCATCGCCGTGACGCGTGTGATCCGGAGCGCTCGCTCCGTCGGGACTCCCGTTCCCGTTTGATGAAGCGCGTCCCGGTAAACATGACACATTTAACGAATCCTCACTGATCCCTCTGGAAAATAACGCGTAGGGAAGGAATACACTTTCGGGATACAGCTTCGTTATTCTGACGCGGTAAAACAAAGTCTCGTAAGTTTGTGTTCGTGTGTTTCTGTCATGTGGAGCGGAGTCATATGAGACTCTGATGGGTTATTTACTGAGAGAGAACGAGAAGTTTATGCGCAGATATAAAGTTGCAAATAGAGTTGTGTGTTGACAGATCGCGCGAAGAATTAAAGACCTGATGATAGATAGATAGATGATAGATAGATAGATAGATAGATAGATAGATAGATAGATAGATAGATAGATAGATAGATAGATAAGAATTGATGGATAGATAGATAAGAAATGATAGATAGATGATAGATAGATAGATAGATAGATAGATAGATAGATAGATAGATAGATAGATAAGAATTGATGGATAGATAGATAAGAAATGATAGATAGATAGATAGATAGATAGATAGATAGATAGATAGATAGATAGATAGATAGATTCCTTTATTCAGACTCATGGTTCATCCATACAAACACACACCACAGACAGACAGACAGACAGACAGACAGACAGACAGATAGATAGATAGATAGATAGATAGATAGATAGATAGATAGATAGATAGATAGATAGATAGATAGATAGATGTGGTGTTTGTTGGGGAAAGGTGATTTGGGGACGATCTGTGCTCTTGCGACACACTCGCACACAGTGTTTATTTACTAACCTGATAAACACTCACTGGAAATCAGAGTGAAGGGCTTCATTCATCACAGGTTCAACATTATGTAAAAAGCCATCGAGGCCAGGTAGTCGCCCACTCTCATACTCGAAAACATAATATGTTGATGTGAACTTTGAGATGTTTGTGGTGGGACCCGTTCGTTGACCCTGAAAGGTCACGACCTGCCGCTTAATATTAACACATCATCGGCTCTGTATATGACGAACATCTAGGAACAACACGTCTGTGAGAAATGATGAAGTGTGTGTCGGTACTGTTCATCTCAGGTGTGGTTATTGAACACACACTTCTCTTCTTTCCCCTCTCTCTCTCTCTCTCTCTCTCTCTCTCTCTCTCTCTCTTAGAGAGAGTCATGATTGTATTTTCTATTCTCTGGAAAAGTTTGAAGGGATTTGGAAGGTTGAAAATGTTTGTGCTGGATTGTAAAAAATGTGTAGAAAATGTAATTTTTGTAGTTCTATGTTGTTGTTTTTTTTTAGTTTCACTTTGATGGTGTTTATACTTGATGTTCTGTAGTAGTCCTTCAGGACCCTAAACGTAATGAAGAATGCCTGTGTCCCCATTCGCTAACGACCAGTGCAAGTATATGTTTCTGCACAACAATAATTGAATCTTACGTGCAATTCACCTTTATTCCTCAAGGTGGCGATGCCTGATACGCAACCAGGAAGTGGTGTTTCACTCGTAGTTTCCGCAGGCAGAAAACAAAATAGACGTAATCTAAGCCCATTTCCGGGAGTTTTAAAACAGTACGCCAAAGCGAACTTTCCCTAAATGATTGCGTAATGTAAATGTAAACCGAAATTGAAAAAATCGGGGCCTGAAGAAGAAATTAGCCAATCAGAGAAGTCGCTGTTACCTTGGAAACTGCAGCGCCTGCGTACTTCCATTAAGCACTGCGAATGACGTAATCGAGTCTCGTACGTTTTAATATGCTAAAATATACTGTATTTATTCTGTACATGCTTTTATTTTTATTATTATTAGTTATAATTGAGGTTTTGATTTGTCATTCGCAATAGATTGCTTTAAAATAATTAGTTTTACGAGTTTTTAAACACTTCTACGTTTGCTTGCAACTTTTTGGAAACAATGTTTGTGAATTTTGTACGTTATTTCAGGTGTTTGATTTGATCCTGGCACTTTAGCGAAGGATATGTTGAAGTCTAACTAGCGTCTGTCAATCAGAGTCACTCTTCTGATTGACTCGTTAAACTCACGCCGGTAAGGAAGTGACATCAGCGCTTCTGTTGCCATGGGGACTTCTTTAACCTCTTTAAGTGCTTGCTTCCAGTCCCATGATCCTCTGCTCTCACAGGTCTGACCTGTTTGGTGGTTTGGGCTTTTTATAAGAGGTCAAAGGTCATATGCTCTTCACATTATAGGGGTCAAAAGGTCATACATTGAGCAGAATGCACACTAAGTATTTTGTGTTTAATAAATGACTTGCATTTAAATAAGTTATTACTACACTGCAGGAATAGCATGCGTAGCAGGTTAGCATGTTGCGTGCGTCACGGTGACCTTTGACCTCGCGCTGCTATTGAAATGAAGCTCTTGAGGAAATCTGCTGTGTGTTTGAAGCACACACACACTGACCCACATCACAATCTTCTGACCAATCACGACGCACCATGTGAAGCTTTAGCGAGAGTGAGAGCGGGATATGATGTTTGTCTGTGTGCGGCGTATGTGAAAGTTCACTGACTTAGTTGTGAAATGTGTTGAGCTCCAGTGAGAGGCGTATTGTTGGGCCTGCAGCCGCTCCAGTGCTGGGCCTGACTGACCTCTGCTCTTCATTCTGACGCTTTCATTGTTTGTTTCTGATGAAACTGATCCTGAGAAACTCACTCACGAGCTTTCGTCTGTGTGTGTGTGTGTGTCAGAGGTCTGAAGATAGTCTATGAACATTTGGGCTTTGCTTTGGTTTTGGTTCAGTCGCAGAAGTTTCATGTCTCTGCAGCTGGTGTGTGTGTGTGTTAGTTCCCAGAATGCAGTGTGTCAGTCGGTCGGGGGTGGGCGTACCACAGGTTTCTGGTGTCTTCTGAACATGATACAGCTGTCAAATCAGTGTTGTGTTATTTCAACTGTTCCTCGAATACACACACACACACTCTTCAGACAATTTTACTTCATGAAACTAAAGAACAACTTAAAGTACAAAAGACGGTTACACTTTATTTTAAGATGTCAGTTTTACAGTGTGTTTACATATTAAGCACTGCATGTGCTTTCTATACCCAGATAGCAAACTGACATTGAATCAACGTAGAAGCATGACATCGAAACAACGTTGATCTGACATTGTTTTGCTCATCGAATTAACGTTGAACCAACGTCAGACGCGTCATTCTTTCAAAACTAACGGAAAATCAACTTGAAATCAACGCGTTGTTTGAACGTTATGAAAGCAAACCAATTTTCGATTTTCATTTAGCTTTGAAGAATGCCGCGTCTTACGTTGGTTCAACGTTAATTCGATGAGCAAAATCAACGTTTTGTTCAATGTCATGAGAGACGTCGTTTCCACGTTGATTCAATGTCAGTTTGCTGTCTGGGTAGGGTTTGGGTTTGTTTGAGGCTCAGTTGCATGTAATTATGAATAATTTACTGTCATTACTACGGTAAGTACATGTAACATTTGTAACAAGGACACTGTAAAATAAAGTGTTTGGACCCTGTACACATAAAAGCGCATTAGGGAATAATATTAACATTACTTATTTATACTTGTATAGTAAAAGTTTGTCGTTTTTTTCCAGACAGAAGTTAAAGAAATTAAATTCGAGTGCCAAGAAATCTTGTTTCAATAGGAAACATGCGAAGACTGTGCTCAACAAACCATTTCATCATTAGCATAAAGTCTTAGAAGCGCAGAAATTAAACGTGTGTTGTCCAGTTTTTAGCGTGTCTGTGACGTGTTTGTCCCTCACAGATGCTGTTATGACCGCGGCGGCTCATGAGCATGTTTGAATCTCCGGAGATGGACGGAAGAGACTCGACCTTTGTGGCCGAGAGGAGCAGATTACCCAGAGATCCCGGGGCGGTGGGCGGAGTCTGTGTGGCGAATGAAGACTCCTCCCCCTGCATTAGCCAGGGGGAGGGGGCTGATGACGAACGATTTGAGGATGTGCTTTATGAACTTGGAGGAGGGGCGGAGTTTAACCCGGAGCTGGATGTGAGGGAGGAGCCTCAGGGGGAGGAGCTTAACTGGGAGACGAACCGACACAAGGCGAACGAACTGGAAGAGCAAAACAACACAAGCCGTTCTACAACCAGTCCTGATCCTACAGCAACCTCCACAGGTGAGGATAATGATGGTGGTTATGGGGGGGGGTGATTACTTTCGCACACGTGAAGTTACACGTAGTGTTTGATTCTCGCATAGAAATGCAGTTGTGTGTGTGTGTGTGTGTGTGTAGATCTATGCAAAGCGTCGCCTCTGTCAGAGCAGCTCCTGCGGGGGCGAGACGAGGGGGCGGGGCTTAACGTGGAGTGCCGAATCTGCGGTGACCGAGCCTCGGGATTCCACTACGGCGTTCATGCCTGTGAGGGCTGCAAGGTCAGAGGTCACCGAGGTGCAAAGAGTACCTGGAAACCACACTTGAGTAAAAGTATTATGTGTCTCGCAGGGGTTCTTCCGGAGGACCATTCGAATGAAGTTGGAATATGATAAATGTGACCGCAGCTGTAAGATCCAAAAGAAAAGTCGTAATAAATGCCAGTTCTGTCGATTTCAAAAGTGCCTGGTGCTCGGGATGTCTCATGACGGTAAGCGAAACGACAACAGACAAAAAAATGTGACTTCTTCGGTGTTGACTGTGATTCTGCGTTCGTAGCGATCCGATATGGACGGATGCCGGAGGCGGAGAAGCGTAAGCTAGTCGCGGGGATGTTGGCGGGGGAAAAGAGCTCCCAGACCTCCAGCGGTTCAGATCTGAAGTCTCTCGCCAAACGGGTCAACAACGCCTACCTGAGGAATCTCAACATGACCAAGAAGAAAGCTCGCAACATCCTGACGGGGAAGACCGACGCAAGCCCGGTAACCCTACGAGGAACGCCAAACGTTAAAGGGATAGTTCACCCAAACATGAAAACTCTGTCAGTAATTACTCGCCCTCATGTCGTAAGACCTTCGGCAGACAAACTAAGATATTTGAACACTTTGAAGGCCCAGAAAGACGTAGTTAGAATAGTCCAAGTGACTGCGGTGGTCCAACCTTAATATTATGAAGCGACGAGAATACTTTACGACTTACAAAATAACGACTTCATTCAACAATTAATTTTTGGGTGAACTATCCCTTTAAAATCATTGTCAATAGAGATGCTCGAGAAAACAAACTGGTTTCTCTGTGTGTGTCCTTCAGCCGTTTGTCATTCATGACATGGACTCGCTGTGGCAGGCGGAAAACGGGCTGGTCTGGAATCAGGTGATTAACGGAGCTCCGCCCAATAAGGAGATCGGCGTGCACGTGTTTTACCGCTGCCAATGCACGACCGTGGAAACCGTACGAGAACTCACCGAGTTCTCCAAAAGCATCCCGGGATTCGTCGACCTTTTCCTGAATGACCAGGTAACGGAATCAGGACATGAGGTGTAATTCATGAAAACTACTTTTTTCGTTAAACCTAGGCGAAATCGTCCCCTACAGCCTTGGGGTACGATTACACGACAACGGTGTGCTTAACTGAAAAGTTTTTCCGACACCATTGTCAAAACGATCCCTGATCCACGAAAACTACTAAAAACGCGGTATTCTGCTGCCAGGCCAGTAGATGGCGATAAAACACTACAGACTCGACACGTAATCACATGTGCATGACGTCATCGAACGACATATGAACGAAATTCCATTTTGTGAGTTTTCTCAGCTCTTGCCTTTTCTCCCCAGGTGACGCTGTTGAAGTACGGCGTCCACGAGGCGATCTTCGCCATGCTGCCGTCGCTCATGAATAAGGACGGGCTGCTGGTGGCGAACGGCCGGGCCTTCGTGACGAGGGAGTTCCTCCGCAGTCTTCGCAAACCCTTCAGCGAGATCATGGAGCCGAAGTTCGAGTTTGCGGTGAAGCTTAACGCTCTCGAGCTGGACGACAGCGACCTAGCCCTGTTCGTGGCCGCCATCATCCTGTGTGGAGGTGAGCTTTCGGCGACTTGCGTGAGATCGGGCTGTTTTGAGGGGCAGGTTGATGTCTGTGGGGGTGTGACGCCCTGCGTCTTTATTGTGGGTTTCATCTGTTTTGGATGGATTTTTCCGCCCTCTCCCTGATTGCATTGGGGACACCTGCGGCCAACTTCCCTTTTTCCCTTTTAAGAGAAGCAAGACAAAGTGGCAGACGGCGGGCGACCTATTTGATTCTATTGCTTTGATTATTGTTTCTTTTGCATGCATCACGACACTACAGCACATTACATTTCCGCACATTCACCTAGCATGACACTACTGATATCTGACTGCTACATTACACAGTTTTGTATAATTTCTTTTGTGTTAATAAATAATTTCTTTAAAAGTTAAGCTTTCTCGTGTGTCCCAATTTTGTTGCGTCCCTTTTGAGCCACGGGACGTAACAAATGGGGGCTCGTCCGGGATATGAACATATATTTGAGTGCATATTGGAGGTTTTTGAGACTTTATGGGCAGGGTTTGAAATGAACTTTCATGTGAATGCACCAAATAAACGCCTCATTTGCACCGCAGGACCTCTAGACGCGCGCAAACACGTCTTTACATTTACTTTAAACTTGCGCCAGACGCTTGGTGTGAACGCACAATAAGAGTTTCTGGGCATTTTTTGGGATCATTGGTGTGTTTTTTAGGGTCAGTTAAGTACTTAAGCGAGTAATCTGGGTGTTTGAGTTTCATAACTGGAACTGTAGTAAGAGAAATGACCCACAAATAAAAGTGGTTTGTGCATGTTTCCTTGAGCGTAGATCGTCCAGGACTCATGAACGTCCATCAGGTGGAGGAGATCCAGGACAACATCCTCCAGGCCCTCAATCATCACCTGACGCTCAATCACCCCGACGCTGGCTTCATCTTCCCCAAACTCCTGCAGAAGCTGGCGGACCTTCGGCAACTGGTGACGGAGAACGCTCACCTGGTGCAGAAGATCAAGAAGACAGAGTCCGAGACGTCGCTACACCCGCTTCTGCAGGAGATCTACAGGGACATGTACTGACCCAAACCATTCCAGGCTCGCGGACCAAATCACTGTGATCGCCAGCTCTCGAGTTGCTACCGTTATAAAACTCTTTGGATCTTACGCGACTGGATGATTTGTTACTGAACTGAACTCTAAAGCAAGCCGAGAGACGTCATCGTAAAGGCAATAAAGACCCTCATTTGCTGCTCAAATCTGCCTCACGTGTGCGTCACAACTTGTTTAACCGAATCTTTAAATCGCAGCGATGCATTCCTATTGAACTATTCACGATGTCTTTGACGAGTTGGCCAAAGGTTGCTGCCACTAGCGAAAACCATTTGCTCCATCTATTTTGGTTCGGTTCGCAGGCTTGTTACGTTGAGTTTTACTAGTACGTCCTTTGTCCTTTTGCTATGTTCGCAAATCTTGAAAGCCAAAAAAATGTGACATGCTAACGCTATTAAACAAGATGTTTAACTAACCTAGCTTTAAGTAAACTGCTTCGCAAGACTGTTGCGGCGTCTTGACTGTAGTTGAGCTGACTGTGGAAGACCGATTGCGCTAACCTCTGCTAGCGCCCCCAGTGGCGAAACTGAGAATGCAGCGCGTAGGCTACTTGCATTGTTTTATGAAGTGAATTCACAATGGAAACGAAAATATCTTTGACGACACAATGATTTTTCGAATCGTTTAAGGACATTTTTGGGGGGGGGGGGGGATATGGAAAAACTCTTGTGAAAAATTGTCGCGCAACACGACAAAAGCTTTTCCGCCAAATTACGTTAAACGCTACTATCAAAACCCATTCTGCTCCATCCATTTTGGGTCAGTTCGCAGGCTTGTAACGAGTTTTACCTGTACGTCCTTTTCCCTTTTGCTATGTTTGCAAGGCTAGAAGGTCAAAAACGCAATACTCACGTTATCAAACTAGATTTTTTATTTAGCTCCTAGCTAAATATAAACGTTTCAGCAGTTTAACTAGCTTTAACTAACATGCTTAGCAAGACTGGTAACTGTTGCGGCGTCTTGATCATCGCTGAGCTGACTGTAGAAGAAGACCGATTGCGCTAATATCTGCTAGCGCCCCCAGTGGCGAAACTGAGAACGCAGCACATACTTGCATTGTTTTGTAAATTGTTTTCCGACGCATTTCGTAGCAAAACAATACGTGAAACTGCAATTAGAAGTGTTTGCATTTGCATACTTCATGAAAAAGCACATTTTTAAAAATATCCTTCACTTCGCCGATGAAAAGCCAATGCCTAAACCAGACGTTCTGCTGGTTCTAGCTGGTTTAAGCGGGTCTCCCAGCCTAACCAGCCAAAACCTCCCCAAGACCAGCTGGTCGAACCGACCGAACGTTATTACAACGTTTAAAACCTCAAACTTTCCTTTTTTTAAATTGTTTTTGTTTGCGTTTCTGAGAAATGATACTGTGATCACATTTATATATCAGAGTTCAGATCGATGATTGAATATCTGACTCCAGAGTTTATATTCATATTATTTAATTTGGCTTTATTAGTTAGTTTGCTGAATCAGACTAATTACGGTCAACGACACGACATATATCGCTGTGACCTTTGACCTTATGTGCATTGCATGATTTGATCTGATGTATGTCATGGTCAGCTGCTATGGTTCATGTGCTGTGAGACGTGTCCGAGTCTGACTGAACTCTTTTCTACAGGCTTTTGTAAAACATCTGAATAAAGCTACAGGGTGAAACCCTCACAGATCGATCTGGGCTGTCTCATAAATGATTGTGCTAACCAAATCAACATCTCTTATGCTCATACAGGGGTGACTGGGTCATTGGTGAGGTAAGTGGAGGGTTATTTTAGGGTGTGTGTGTAAGTCTGTAAGGGGGTGTTTTTGAGAGTCAGTGGTTATTTTTGGGGGTTTGTGGGAATTTTAGGGTGTATTTTCAATGGTTTTTGTGTAATATGTGTTTTTATGGGGTGTCTTCTGATTTCTAAATAGCCTGATGTGAGATTGGGGTGTTTTCGAGGGTCAGATTGATGTCTGTGTGTAGGACCTTGTTGTTTATTTAGTCTTTCTAAGTATTTTAAGTGCTCTTTTTTATGTGGATGGTCAGTTCTGTGTTATTTTTGGGGATAAGTGGGTGTTTAGGGTCGTGTGGAGGGTAAGTTGTATTTGAAGATCAGTGTTTTTGAGGTTTTTAGGGTCAATGCCATCCTCGGGGTGTTTTGCAGGGTGTCTTAGTTGGTTTACTGGGTATTTTTGAAGGTCAGTGGATATTTAGGGTGTTTAAGAGTTCTGAGATTGGGGTGTTGTTGAGGGTCAGGTTGATGTCTGTGGGTGTATTTGAGTGCATGTATGATGTTTTTGGGGTATTTTAAGGTTTCATTGTGCTGGTTTTCTGGTTGTTGGGGTGATCAAAAGTGTCTTCCTCAATTGTGTTCTGGTTATTATCGAAGGTTAGTGGGTATTTAGGGTGTTCGGGGTGTCCATTTGTGTTCTGAGTAGCCTAGTGTACAGCCTAGTATCTAGGTAGTTATCAAAGTGTTTCATTGCATTTTTGGGGATCATTGGTGTGTTTTTTTAGGCAGTGTTTAAGAGTTTATGGGTGTTTTTGAGGGCCACTGGGTCACTGGGTTTTAGGGGATCATTGAGTTTGTATGGGCGTCTTGAAGATCAATGGGTGTTTTATGAGATCATAGGGGTGTTTTGAGGGTTGTTGTGTATTTAGGGAGTAATCTGTGTGTTTTGAGGGCCACTGGTTGTGTAAAGTGATCATTGGGGTGTTTTGAGGGTCATTAAGTACTTGATTACTTAATTTATGTGAGTGTTTTGAGTTTTAGTGGGTGTTTTTGAAGATCAGTGGGTGTTTTATAAGATCATCGGGGTGTTTTTGGGGTGTTTTGAGGGTCATTAAGAACTTAATTACTTAATTTATGCGAGTGTTTTGAGTTTTAGTGGGTGTTTTTGAAGATCGATGGGTGTTTTATGAGATCATAGGGGTGTTTTGAGGGTTGTTGTGTATTTAGGGAGTAATCTGTGTTTTTTTGTAGGCCACTGGTTGTGTAAAGTGATCATTGGGGTGTTTTGAGGGTTGATTACTTAATTTATGCGAGTGTTTTGAGTTTTAGTGGGTGTTTTTGAAGATCAATGGGTGTTTTATAAGATCATCGGGGTGTGTTTGAGGGGTTTTGGGGTGTTTTGAGGGTCATTAAGTACTTGATTACTTAATTTATGTGAGTGTTTTGAGTTTTAGTGGGTGTTTTTTGAAGATCAGTGGGTGTTTTATAAAATCATCGGGGTGTGTTTGAGGGGTTTTGGGGTGTTTTGAGGGTCATTAAGAACTTAATTACTTAATTTATGTGAGTGTTTTGAGTTTTAGTGGGTGTTTTTTGAAGATCAGTGGGTGTTTTATAAAATCATCGGGGTGTGTTTGAGGGGTTTTGGGGTGTTTTGAGGGTCATTAAGTACTTGATTACTTAATTTATGTGAGTGTTTTGAGTTTTAGTGGGTGTTTTTTGAAGATCAGTGGGTGTTTTATAAAATCATCGGGGTGTGTTTGAGGGGGTTTGGGGTGTTTTGAGGGTCATTAAGCACTTGATTACTTAATTTATGCGAGTGTTTTGAGTTTTAGTGGGTGTTTTTTGAAGATCAGTGGGTGTTTTATAAGATCACCGGGGTGTGTTTGAGGGGTTTGGGGTGTTTTGAGGGTCATTAAGCACTTGATTACTTAATTTTTGCGAGTGTTTTGAGTTTTAGTGGGTGTTTTTGAAGATCAGTGGGTGTTTTATAAAATCATCGGGGTGTGTTTGAGGGTTTTGGGGTGTTTTGAGGGTCATTAAGAACTTAATTACTTAATTTATGCGAGTGTTTTGAGTTTTAGTGGGTGTTTTTGAAGATCAGTGGGTGTTTTATAAGATCATCGGGGTGTGTTTGAGGGTTTTTGGGGTGTTTTGAGGGTCATTAAGAACTTAATTACTTAATTTATGCGAGTGTTTTGAGTTTTAGTGGGTGTTTTTGAAGATCAGTGGGTGTTTTATAAGATCACCGGGGTGTGTTTGAGGGTTTTGGGGTGTTTTGAGGGTCATTAAGTACTTGATTACTTAATTTATGCGAGTGTTTTGAGTTTTAGTGGGTGTTTTTGGAGATCAGTGGGTGTTTTATAAGATCATCGGGGTGTGTTTGAGGGGTTTTGGGGTGTTTTGAGGGTCATTAAGAACTTAATTACTTAATTTATGTGAGTGTTTTGAGTTTTAGTGGGTATTTTTGAAGATCAGTGGGTGTTTTATAAGATCATCGGGGTGTGTTTGAGGGTTTTGGGGTGTTTTGAGGGTCATTAAGTACTTGATTACTTAATTTTTGCGAGTGTTTTGAGTTTTAGTGGGTGTTTTTGAAGATCAGTGGGTGTTTTATAAAATCATCGGGGTGTGTTTGAGGGTTTTGGGGTGTATTTTGATGTTCACTGAGGTGTTTTCGAGGCCCATTGTGTGATTTAGGAGTCGTGATGCACCGGGTCAGGGAGAGGTTCGCGAGGTACGTGCTCTTCCTCTGCGTTGTGCTCTTCGGTCAGGTGTTTTCCTGGACGTGACGTGCGTTTCCTCCTTTACAGTACGCATGTTTCCTCTTAGCTGGAGGTCGTGACCCCTCGTTCGGTTTCAGTGGTTTCCTCTCTTCAAGGCATTAGGAACAATTGTATGGGTCACAGGATAACACACGCCCATCTGAACCTGATTATGATTATCGTTATGAGTGATTGCTTGTGTATGACCTTTGTTTTAAGTGTGTGTGTGAATGTGAATGTGCTCTGCAGATGTTGTATGAACAATGTGGCCCCAGGCAGCATAACTCGCCCTCTTTCCATTGTGTGTGTGTGTGTGAGAGAGAGAGAGAGAGAGAGTGTGTTTGTTTGTTTTTGTGATTTATGAGGACAGAATTGTGTATAATGACATGAGTATTACACTGGTATTTCAATATGAACTTGATTTATTAGAAGATTTCAAGCGCCCGGTCTCAGATCAGTTGGACGTGGCTGTGGTAACAAGAGGTAAAAACGATATAAACACTGTTGGTTTTCTCACACAAACCGCTCGTTTCGTGTCTTAGGCCGTTAATGTGTACTTACATTTACGAGTCATTAAATCATGTTTAATTTGGACTTCTCTGTGCATGCTCTTTGAGGTGGTGACCATAGACCTCCATTATATGACTGACAGACAAGAACGGTTTGACCTAAAAATATTAAAATTGAAAATACTGTGGAAACAAAGACACCTACATCTTGGATGCCCTTGAGGAAAGATAAAACATATTAAAATTGGTTTTAAAGTGAACTATCCCTTTAAAAAACACAATAGAGTGTGTGTATGAGTGATGGGTAGGTTTAGGGGTCGGGTTAGTGTGTGTGTGTGTGTGTTCCCTGTCCCAGCAAGAGGTCTGATTCCAGTCCGGATCTCCCGCTGACTAACACAAAGGGGTTTAAGTGTTTGAACAGGCTTTGGTCACACGAGATGCTGAAATCTGCCTAGCTCAGATTAGCCGGATCAGCGTCGGATCATGCGGCCGACAGGAATGTTGAATGTGCTGTTATGAAACCAAACTCATTAATTCATAAACGTATCGCTGAATTACCCTGAGAAGATTTCTTTAAGGTTGTCGGGAGTGTTTTTAAAATTTATTTTTTATTAAGATACTTTGCTAGCTTGATTGTTTGTAAGTTTTGGAGTAATTCAGTTCTCCACGTCCTCTTGTGGTCAGATATGGAATTAAATCCTGTATTTTGCTTTCTTACGGTTTCACAACCGGGATATTAAAAACAATAAAATGTATAAAATTAAATATAATTTTTAAAAAAAAGTTAAATTTGGTGTTTTACTATATATATATATATATATATATATATATATACAGTATATATATATATATATATATTATTATTATTATTATTTTTTTTTTTCATTTTTAAATATTCTCTGCAGGGATTTATTGATGCTCTCTATTTGACTTTTATATCTATAATTTTATATGTTTGTGTGATTGATGAGTGTTTTTCAGGCTCTGTAAACACAGGTTCCTCCTGCAATCTCTCATGCCATTGGCTATAAGCGCTAAGAAGATTACGACTGACTCTTTATCTCTGAACACGACACAAACGGTAGGAAGAAACTGGTGTTTTATTGGTTTCTTAGTGTGTATTATCAGCAGATGAATGAATGATTATACTGGAATACTGGGAGACAGTGACGACAGCGATGACGGTATGACACACACTTAATTTTAGTTTTTATTTTAAACATAGTAGGCCTACCAGTTTTGATCTCTAACATATTGAGATAAACACTAACTTTAGTTGGTTATTCCCGCTAAACAGATCCAAACTCAAAGAACCTGCTGGCGGCGTCCTGGGAGAAGTTATCCGTCATGGACAGACTGGGATTAAAGAGGTAAAGATGATTTAAAAGTAAATGGTTAAACTATCTTAACAAAGGTTTTTGCTTCTCCAGATGCAATATAATGTGGACAACATTGAATAAATACATTTGTCAGGTTAGATAGTGATAATTAATCACTCAAACCCCTTTATCTAAACCTCTCTACACAACCGCTGGACTCATAATAATATAAATATAATAATATTTTTATCTCACAATTGCGAGTTTATGTCTCAAACACGCAATTGCTAGTCTTTTATTACAGACTATCTTGATAGTCTGACTTTATAACGCAATAGAGTGCCGAAGTTACGACGTCACTCTGTAGGCCAAAACGTGGAAGTGAGCATTTTAGCATTTTAGCACTATGTTAGCATTTCAAGTTAGCATTTTAGCACTACGGTTCTCTCGCTCTAAAGTCTATGGGATTTTTGAATGGGTTTTTGCTAAATTGCCTGAAATAAGGTCTGTGGTAAACAGAGCCTCGAAATATTTTCACGTTTTGATCTCTGACATAGAACACGCAGTTATAACCTGCTTGTGGTTTTTTAAACTTTATTGTGTCTGATTGTGTTTTTTAAAATCTTTATATAGGCTTCAAAATGTATACATTTTGGATTAACTTGTAAAGATTATCTTGCTAGACAAAACGTGTAAGTGTCATAAACACAGATCTTATTTTTTGCGATTTTCCAAAAGTCTATGGGGAAAATGCATTGCTTTTCGACCGAGGGAACCCATGCGCCGCTAGCTTCCGAGTCGTCCTACAAAGTGACGTCATCACTTCGGCACTCTATTGCAAGTTTATATCTCACAATTCTAACTTTTTCGCACTCAATTGTGAGTTTATATCTTGCCAACTTTTATATACTTTGTTAATTGGCAAGACAAAACACGTTCAAATGATAAACGTTCACTTTATGATGATTAAATTTAGCCGCTAATCCACGAATCGCATGCGTGTCGAACCATTGGGGCTGATCCGTGCTGTTGCATCAGTGGGTGGGGTTTATGGGAGAATGGGTGTGGTCAAAGTGCAAGTGGGTGGGGCTAGTTCATTGATTGACTGTTCTCACTAAACTTTGATTCGTTACACCCCTAATAATGAATGAACACGTTTATCATCGCGACTGCTATCTTATGGTGCGTTCAAGTCGTCCTGGGAAGTTCGTACGTACGAGGCGGGAAATCGTAAGATCGTAAGGAGTAAGATGGCGGTGTACTTTCTCTTAATTAATTACACAAAAATACAGCAAGGTTCTTGAACTCTACTTCTAGAAAATTAAGAAAGAAATGTGCATCTGGTTTGCTTTGCTTTTTATGTTTTAAATTAATTTATGGAGCCACTGCAAACTTTATCGTTAATCGTAAAATACCCTACTTAAGTATTGTGTTATCCCGCCATGTTTTTCACTGACTCGTATTTATGACATTGTGGAGGCGTTCATGTGCGTTCAACTTGTAAACACGATCTCTACGAGCTGATTCGAACACATTATTAGCTTTGTGAGGAGATTGTGGGTGCGTTATAAGGGTTTGTGCTGTCCTGCAGGTGTTGTACGAGCGTCTTCCAGATGTGGACGGCAGAGAGATGGTGGAACAGATGAAGAACAGCCTCCAGATGCTGGAGAGCAACGTAGACACCGTAGCGAAAACAGCAGAGATGCTCGGAGCCGCACACCAGGTACTTCACATCACAAGACGCGCGTTGACCTTTCATAAACCTTTTCACAACCATGTTTGCGCATCAGGAAGCGCGCGTCAGTCACGCCGTGGAAATGATGTCAATTCACGTGGAGCATCTCAAGAAACGTCACGCTTCAGAGAGCGAGGAGATGCTGGAGGCCAGGAAGATGCTGCACAGGAGGAAGCGTCGGTTACACAGCGACTCCACAGGTCAGTGCTGCCCCCTAGTGGCCTGGAGGGCAAATGAACCTGTCATCTTAGGGGCCACTTACACGAGACCGTTTTCAACTAAAATGTAAAAAATTTTACACGCTTTGGCCGTTCATTTACACGACAACGGCGTGACATGACAACAACTTTTGAAAACGGGTTTCAGTGCTGCCCCCTAGTGGCCTGGAGGGCAAATAAACATGTAGTCTGAGGGGCCGCTTACACAACACTGTTTTCAACACTGTTTTAGCCATTCATTTACACAACAAGAGCATTACGACAACCACTTTTGAAAATGGGTTTCAGCGCTGCCCCCTAGTGGCCTGGAGAGTAAATAAACCTGTAGTCTAAGGCTGCTTACACCTTTTTTTAACCAAAAATATCAAACTTTTTATGCATTTTGGCCCTTCATTTACACAACAAGGGCATTATGACAACCACTTTTGAAAATGGGTTTCAACGCTGCCCCCTAGTGGCCTGGAGAGTAAATAAACCTGTAGTCTAAGGCTGCTTACACCTTTTTTTAACCAAAAATATCAAACTTTTTATGCATTTTGGCCATTCATTTACACAACAAGGGCATTACGACAACCACTTTTGAAAATGGGTTTCAACGCTGCCCCCTAGTGGCCTGGAGAGTAAATAAACCTGTAGTCTAACGGGCCGCTTACACCTTTTTTTAACCAAAAATATCAAACTTTTTATGCATTTTGGCCCTTCATTTACACAACAAGGGCATTATGACAACCACTTTTGAAAATGGGTTTCAACGCTGCCCCCTAGTGGCTTGGAGAGTAAATAAACCTGTAGTCTAACGGGCCGCTTACACCTTTTTTTAACCAAAAACATCAAACTTTTTATGCGTTTTAGCCATTCATTTACACAACAAGGGCATTACGACAACCACTTTTGAAAATGGGTTTCAACGCTGCCCCCTAGTGGCCTGGAGAGTAAATAAACCTGTAGTCTAAGGCCGCTTACACCTTTTTTTAACCAAAAATATCAAACTTTTTATGCATTTTGGCCCTTCATTTACACAACAAGGGCATTATGACAACCACTTTTGAAAATGGGTTTCAACGCTGCCCCCTAGTGGCCTGGAGAGTAAATAAACCTGTCGTCTAAGGGGCCGCTTACACCTTTTTTTAACCAAAAACATCAAACTTTTTATGCATTTTGGCCCTTCATTTACACAACAACTGCATTTTAGGTTCCTAAAAAAACACAAAGTTTTGATAAAGGGTTTCAAAGTGCAAGTTTTTGAAAACGCCATCTACTGGCCTGGGAGCAGAATACAACGTTTTTAGACGTTGAATATTTGGCAATCTTTACGTGAAGAAAAGACGTAAGCATATCGTTGTCATGTAAATGTGTACCCATATATTTTTCCTTGAACAGATGACCGGGACCTGTTCAGACATTTATCACAACAGGTAACTGACCATCATTTACCTAATAGACTAAATCAGTGACTCGTACAGTATCAGTGTCTCTAGACTTTACTTTGTGAACTAGAGACCCTATTTGTAGTTTTATGCCACTCTCTTCCATAGAATGAAAGTTTATTGTGACCAAACCTCTATGTTGTTTGGAACTTGATAGATGTTCTGACTATCGCTGTAATTGTCACTATATGTGTTCAACCATCAATAATAGCTAGCGCTTATGTCGTAGCCAATACGCCGCAGGGTCAGCATCACGTTACTCCCGACTCAATCTGAGGTACGTTACGTGTTCATATTCCAACGTTTGCTTCTGGTTTGATGTCTGGAGGTTTTACGAGGTTTATATCTCTGCAGTTGAAGCGTCTAGAGGCTTCGTTTTTGGAGAACTGCGAAACCGGTGCGGACGCAAACGCAGAGTTTGATACGCAAGAAGACCGGAGGTAATACTAGACTAGACTAGTAGCTTAACCTTTATTTAGCCCGAAAATATGACTGTTTCCTATTTGCGTCTCTCAGACAGGAAGTAGATTCTCCTGTGAACAGTCTAAACCAAGATGATGATGGCGACAGAGGTGTGTTTCAAAGGTAAAACGCGTGACATATGCGAACACAAACCGAGCCGCACGGGTGTGTCTGTGGCGATAGCCAACAATACATTGTATGGGTCAAAATTATAGATTTTTCTTTTATGCCAAAAATAATTAGGACATATATATTCCTTCACCACATAATTACATGTGACCGATCTTTGTATTCGACAGTGTGACGCAAATCACGTGCCATCGCCGTCGTTATCCTCCAATCAAGCCCGAAGAAAGTTCATGTGAGGGGGAGGAGTCAGAACAAGGGGAGGAGTCCAACCCTGAAATGTGCGTTTACAGTCATCTTCATTATAATTTATGCGCATAACTCAGACCACTGAAATGATATGTTTGCAGGCGTCTCGTGGCACGTCGGCGCCCCCTGGTGTCCTGGAGGTTTCCTCACGGACGGATCGTCACAGTGATTTCGTTCGTGTTTGGTCTGATAATGCTGATGGCGACTCTTTTATATGTATTTGTGAGTGTTTGTTTAAATCGCTGATGGTTTAGTGCTGTTATAGATCTTAAAGGACTAGTTTAGGTATGAATAAACACCCTGTCGTAACTGAATAATGAATGTTTCTGTTTTGAATTGAGTTATTTCACACTACATTTAAGGAAGTTGCAATAACTTATTTCCATTTTGGTCTTTTTTTTTAACGAGACAAGTGTCACTGATTGTGGGTTTCCACCAGGTGGCGCTAGTGAGTCACTCTAACTCATTCACTCATAGACAGCAGATGAACTTAACTGGATTATAGAGTTAAATTCACTTTAATCCTTGTGAATGTGGCTGCTTGTGTGTCCTGAACGCAATACTAACAGATTGGCATTAAATATTCTTGTTTATTTCAACTGAATGTCCTCCTTTCTCCTGAAATAGGTGCAAAGCCATGGCAACAGATTAATGACTCTAATTAACAGTATTTAAATTAAGAGAGACATTGAGAAGCTTCAGAGCGACTGATTCACCAGGTGTTGCTCATTTGTTCATTAGTAATTATAATGAATGCATGAGAGGCTTTAAAATTCATTAATGCAGTTTAATAGAGGGGTCAGATGAGCCTGATCTGGATGAGATTAAACGCGTACAGACGTGTGCTAATGATCTCCTGTTTCCTGAGGGCATCTTAACCCTGCCCACATCCTTCTGCGCAGCCAATCACGTCTCAGAATGAGAAGCAGGTTCAGGGAGTGCTCTTCATTTCTACTCCGGTCATGTTAACCAGATTAAAGCAGCTGAAAATGTTCTTAAACGAACATCTACTGATGCAAATCATTGTATTTAGGAACTTTTTTTTGTTGATTTAGTGGTTTTATAAAGAATTATTTGTAAAACTGATTTTAAAATCAACTTTTTTGACTTTGAAAAACAGTGTGCATGACATAATAATTAAATTAATAATATAATATTACATATGTTTTAATAAAATAATTACTACATATATTTTGTAAACAAAGCATTGAAATAATTACAATTAAATCACATTTATTAATATAAAAAATGTATAACCATCTATAAGTGTGGTTTGTTTGCAATTTATATGGAAATAAATACGTTACATATTATGTAATTATTATGATATTATATAATATAATCGCAAATGATTACGTGTATGAACGAGCTCGTACTGTGACGTCACGCTCGCTCACGGACTGCGCTCATAATTCATGTGATCAGCAACTCTGGTTATTATAATCATATCAACAGATACATGAGATTATACATGGGGATGATAAGCAGAATGAACTCAAGCATGATGCAGAGTTATATTAGATTATAAGACACTGAAATGAGTCAGTGCGCACCTGTTCACCCAGGTGCGAAACACACAGACACACACACACACACACACACACACACACACACACACGTGCGCGTGGCGCGAGCAGCGCTCTATCACACGTTAAGCTGCACACATCGCAAGCACATGTCCTAAACCACACACATGTAATCAAAGCGGCCTGTTTTCATATCGTTTTATATGAAAATATATTATTTGGTACAAATTTGAACATTGATATCGCTCTATGTGACAACACGACATCATTTACAAGCTCTTCACCGCCAAAATACAGATTGAAAATAAAGTGTGTTTTTCTTCATCATTAAAGCACAAACCTCGCTTATATAGCATTTGCCACTTTATTGGTAACGCAGTATCGGCATGGGATGTTATTGTAATATTTTTTTTTTATGAATGCAAAACAATAGGCTATAACAGCCTAGGGTAGCAAAGAAAACACATTAAAAAATAAAATAAAATAAACATTGACAAAAATATAAGACCTTTGTATCTTTTAGAGATTTTGAAGACAAGTGAACAGTCTTAATAGCTTTCCCATTACTACTCGACTGAAAAGTAATTTTCTAATCTAATTTTCTGGCTTTTGTTATAAAACGTACACTTAGGAATGTGAAATTTGACTAATAAAAGGAACAAATTAATTATACTACAAAAGTCTCTTATTCACACTGTTATCGTACTTTAAATATACAAAATTTTAATTTTAAAGAGTACCCTTCGGCCTTTCCTTAACACCTCATACAATATTTTTTTTAACGAAGGTTATTGTGATTGGCTCTCTCAGGTGATCGCGGGTGACGTCACGCGCCTCGGCCCCGCCCCCCGCGCGCGCTCATGAAGCTTTAACGAGCTCGTGAGAGTTCAGGTAGATGCTCACCAACTGCGTCTCCTCATCACATCATCATCATCAACATCATCATCATCATCACCCCTCCGGTAAGACTGGCTTCTTCTTTCAAATGAATTATCATTTCTCTGAGAGCTCACGAGGCTTCAAACGCGACTCAAATGTAATCATGTAACGTTATAACGTAACGTTTTATTCTAAACTCAGTGTTTCAACTGTTGTTGTGATTATTTGACATTAAATGTTGAACGACGTTAAAATACCAAAGATAAATGGGAATGATAAGCATTCGCAAACTTTCTATAGGCTAAATATATGAATTAAAGTTGTTCAAATGTGTGTTAACCAGTTATCTGGGTTGTGTAATAGTGTTTGTTAATGTTATTAAGTAACATGTTATTAGCTAAATTTAACTATTTGTTAGACTTTGTTTTACTGTCAGTAAAACTATAACGTAACATCGCTTGCTCATGTCTGTTCACACTGTATTAATAATGCAAATACAACTATGTATTAGTACATGTTTCATTAAGAGTACTAAATGCCGTTCATTAATAGTTCATACTGTAACATTAAAGTAAAAGTGATTCCGGATATATTAAAAGTATTAACCTATATAGAGAGGTCAGAGGTCATAGATCAAAACTCTTCTCAGAAAAACTGCAGATTCATTAGCGTGGCCGACCGCGACCTCCTCCACCTTTATATAAGATGGCGTGATCTGACTCACACACACTCGAGGAGGAGTGGGCAGTAATATGACAGATGTGTGTGTTCCAGGAGTCGGTTTGAGAAACTCGAGCCGCGATGGGTCGCAAGGAGATCAACTGCAGCTGGAAGAAGATCACCAGCAACATCAAGGAGATCTTTGACTTCAAGGAGGTGCTGGGATCGTAAGTATGGAGCGCTTCATGAGTCAGGAGTCAGGTGAAGGTGTGTGTCTGCGAGCTCGAGGCTATTACAGGATCAGAAGCTTTATTCCCAGAGGAGACACATGCGTCTAAACCTGACGACACGCAGATTAACGGATTGAGGACCAGGGGACGTTTTTATCAAACGAAGCCGTTCATCCCATTGAGAAACACCGTTTAGCACTAATACTAGCGTTACTCATCATTGTGAAGTGAGCAATCTGAAACGTTATTGAGCTGTAAGAGGCACGGTTATCTGTGGATGCACGATATATTTTTAAGAAAAAATGTGTTATTTACATATAAAATAGTTATATTTTATACAGTATAAACATGCTAATATTTCTTAACTATATACATGCATATGTGTGTATTTATATTTACAAAATAATTATACACAGTACTCACACATATATTGTGTTGTCTAATTTTGGATGCGATTAGTTATCGTTATATCGTCGGCTCGTTAAGAAAATGTCCGATATATTAAAGGAGTAGTTCACTTTTAAAATAACCTCTGCTGATAATTTACTCGCCCCCGTGTCATCCGAGATGTCCATGTCTTTCTTTCCTCAGTCGAAAAGAAATTAAGGTTTTTGATGAAAACATTCCAGCATTTTCTCCATATAATGGACTTCAATGGGGTCCAAAAGACAGTTTCAGTGCAAACTGTTTAAAGGGCTTTAAATGATTCTAGATGAACTCGTTTATCAAAATGAACAAATCTTTTCTAGAGTCAACTCGTTCATTTCGTTCATTGAATGAACCAAATGACTCGGAAAAAGATTCGTTCATTTTGATGAACGAGTTCGAACAGGAGAGTCACGAACGTGCGTCACAGAACAGAGCAAGGCGAGCATTTGAGCTTATAAAACTTAAACTTGTTATTTATTTATTAAATGAGCGCTCGTTTCGCTTGATAAGACCCTTATTCATCGTCTGGTGTCGTTTAAAGTCATTTTGCACTGAAACTGTCTTTTGGACCCCATTGAAGTCCATTATATGGAGAAAAATCCTGGAATGTTTTCATCAAAAATCTTAATTTCTTTTCGACTGAAGAAAGAAAGACATGGACATCTCGGATGACATGGGGGTGAGTAAATTATCAGCAAAAGTTTCTTTAAAAGTGAACTACTCCTTTAAAGCTGATAAATACCGTATTTTTCCCCTCGGCTGAGACGCTTCAGTCGCGCACTGTTAGATGATGGTTATGAATTGCTTAAATATGATTGGAATCACTTCAAAACAGGAAAATACGGATAAGTCTGTAATATCAGCTACTGAACATTATCATGAGAACATTATAGGCCAATATATATCGGTTTAATATTTAATAATTTATCGGTTTATATCGGATTAATCAGCCAATATATCGGTTATCGGCTTTCAAATATAAATATTTATCGGTTATTGGCATTGGCCGAAATGTTCATATCGGTGCATCCTTATTATTATGATCTCCTATGGCACTTTATGAACACTTGTGAGGCACGATGAAGCTTTTTGAAGTGTTATGAATCATAACTAAGCATTCAGTCATTTTTATGAAGGGTTATGAAATATTTAAAAATCAGTGTTGAACTATAAAATGTTGGGAAGCTTTGCTAAACCATGACCGTTTATGAAGGGTATAGAGCATTATTATCACGAAATGTTATGAAGCTTTAAGATTCAATATACAGTAAGCTCTTATTACACTGTATGAAGAGTTATGAAGTATTATGAGGCATTATAGGATGTGAGGATGATTTATACGGCTGTACTGAACTATTATAAAGCATTGTGAAGTAAAAGGCGTTATAAAGCTTTATAAGTCATTATGAGGCATTTTTGTAATTTTGATATTCATGCTTGTCCGGGGTTTGTTGGTCGTGTGAGCATTAGTGAGCCTCTCTCTCTCTCTCGTTTTGACACCTGTCAATCATCATCAGCAGGTGAATGACACAGACATCAGAGAACATCCTGACACTAGTTAATTAAAGGATTATCGAGACGGTTTACGAGGGGACAAATCTGTCTCCAAAAGATACTAGATCTAACGGATCTTTGTTAAATGTTCTTGTCAATTCTTGTTGATTATGGATTTATTCATAACGGAAGAAAAAAAGATCACAAAAGCGTCCAGAATGAGTGTCGTCATTGGCTCTCATCAATGTGCAACAACCAAACGGTGACTATTGTTCTCAATCTGAGATGATCTGTGCTGTAGGAGTGTGTTTTCACACACACATGATGAGGACATTGTCAGGTGTTGTTCTGGGCGGTTGCAAGGTATTTCTAGGGGGGTTTTTTTGGATTAGATGCATTGTGGGTAATGAGTTGCGAGGGGCGGTACTGGGTCTCTTGTGTAACGCGCAGTAATCCTCGTTCTAGGACAGTTATTTAAGAGAGACCAGGTGTGTTGAACAGGCCGGACACACACATAGCTGAGCCTTGATAGATTAGTGCTGATCTCAAACTCCACGTTCATGTGTCTCGGCAGGGGCTCGTTTTCTGAGGTCTACCTGGCGAGAGAGAGGAAGACCGGGAATTTCTACGCCCTGAAGTGTGTGAAGAAAAAACAGCTGCACCACTCCAACCTTGAGAACGAGATCAAGGTGCTAAAGAGGTACGAAACAAGACACACACGCCACTGAAACGAGCACTCGGGGCTCAAATATAATATAATATAATATAAATAATATAATATAATATAATATATATAATAAATATAATATAATATAATATAATATAATATAATAATATACAAACTTGGTATCTATGTTCTCAGCATGACCCAAGGAACAGACCAATTTCATTACAATAAGCTAATTTAGTCAAAAGTTGTAGCATTTTTGGGAAATTTCATTATAGCCTTTGACCACAGGGTGGCGCTGCCCAGAAACTTTTTAGGCA